CGCCCCTCCTGAGGCTCTGAGCAGCCTGCCAGGCCATGGACAGCAGGGAACCTGCTGGGCTGTTGCCAAGGAATTGCCCAGGTAAGTCTCCCAGCCAGGGTCACACCCTGACACACCAGCCCCTCCCTCTTCCCCCAGACCATCCCCAATCCTGTTCCTGTACCCCACATAATCCAAACTTTTCACACACCCCCACTCCTGCACTCATACCAGGCTCTGAGCAGCCTGCCAGGCCATGGACAGCAGGGAACCTGCTGGGCTGTTGCCAAGGAATTGCCCAGGTAAGTCTCCCAGCCAGGGTCACACCCTGACACACCAGCCCCTCCCTCTTCCCCCAGACCATCCCCAATCCTGTTCCTGTACCCCACATAATCCAAACTTTTCACACACCCCCACTCCTGCACTCATACCCCCTTCCCAGACCCTGCACCCCAATCTCCTGGCCCCAGGACACAGGCCCCTCCTGCCGAAGTCATAACACAAACCCCTGCATCTCCTCCCCTGCCCTGATCACAACCACCTCCTTCACCCAAACTTCCTCCCAGATCCCACATCCCCTCCTGCACTTCAATCCCTTCCCCCAAGCTCCCTTCCACACCCAGCCTCCATCCCAGACCCTGCCCCTCCTCCACTAATACCATGGAAGAATATTATACCCTCCACCACTGACCAAATTCTTGGAGTGGCTCCCCCTCAAAAATTATTGCCCACCCCTGGACTAGACAACAGGAGATGGCTCACTCAAAGCTGCCCTGTTCGGTTCATTCCCTCTCACGCATGTGACACTGCACTAGGCAGACCATTGGGCCAACCTAGTAGGGTCATTCTTTCATTCTTAGGATCTGATCTCATGTACTTAGCCTTTCTTGTTGTTTCCATTGCAATCTGTAACCAGCTATTTACATTGCTTAGTCAAGCATGTATGCAACGAAAACAACCTATGCGGCTATACCACAAGGTGACACTCTTAAACATGTTTGCACTTAGCAAGCTCACTGTCATTTGCTAATAATTCAATAGAACCATTTATCGTATTCCTTTTTGCAAAGCTTCATGGGGTCTTATAACCATGACCAATGCCGAAGCTGCGGGTTTCATTATGCCTATTATATCTGAAATTATAATATAAGCAAGAAAAAAAATGATGACAACCTCTGGATGCCTGGAGACTTCCCAGCCTGGGTAGACAGTAGATTATGCAGCTTCCCTGGAAGCTGTGCACTGAAAGATTACCCCGGAGAGATTCAGGTGCCACCCAGCTGATTAGCAGAGCACCCACAGCTAGGTTTATGTTTCTACTGATGGTGCACATGTGCACCTGCCTCGCTGCACACAACAACTTTTATTCCTCACGTGGATGTTAAAAAATGGAGGGAACATTGATAGACAGACATGTACCAGTGCACTAAAAGCAGCAGCATGGGCACTGTGGCATGGGCACCCACATGGCTCTGGCTATTTTTAGTGCACTCACTTGTGCAGAGTTAGCACATCACTGTCTGCTCAGGCTGGGAGTCACTAGTTGCCACGCTGGTCTATCACATGGGCCATTTCCCTGGGTAGTTCGGGTTGTCTGTGTGATCATCTTTTGCTTCAATCTCCACTTTAATGATGGCCTTATCCGCATTGGACATAGTGGCTTTTGCCTGGATCCCCTGGGTGGTCACGTCTAGCTGGTAATCCGGCACCTTGAGCTCCACTCTCCCGAAGGACTCACACTTATAGGGTGGGTGGTGGTTGTACATATACTGGTAGAGACGCTCCATGCTCTCAAAGTGCTTCCTGCCCGCGAAGAGCTCGATGGCAAACTCCGAGTTGTAGAGGACGCGGTCGAAGGGGTTGGAGAACATGACGGCCAGGGTGAAGGCATCGGACTTGTAGCTCAGCACCCCCACGCTCCCGCGGGCCGAGTAGCTCGTTTTCACAAACACACAGCTCCCCGATTTGCCAGGGGGGATGGAGTCCTCTGGATTAATCAGGACATGGCCACTGAAACAGTAAGTCCTGGAGGAAAACCACACAGGATTCCTTTATTACACGGCATCCCTGACAACAGGGCATCCTTAGGGGTTATGCGGCCCTATGAAGTGCTGTAAACTGGTCCCCCAATGGCAGCGGGGAGAGGGGATTTTCAGAATTGTGATTTTATAATCTTCAGCCACACGCTAATGAAATAGTTTTAAAGCAAATTTTAAAGCCAGGCCCTGTCGACTGACAGTAAATTCAGAATAAACTTTAAAAAGAACAAATGTTCTGGTAGCACTTTATAGACGAACAAAACATGTAGATGGGATCATGAGCTTGCGTGGGCACGGCCCACTTCGACTGACAGTCCAGAGCAGGGCTTGGCAAACCCCTGTGACAAGGCTTCATTACCACTCGCATGGCTCTCTCTCCGGCTCCGCTAACAGACCTGGCAGGCTTTGTCACAGTTCAGTGAGCTGGATCCTCTCCGGAGGAAGCAGGGCCGCAGAGCAGGGAGAGGAAGAGACGGGAGGGTGGACAGTAAGACCCAGGGGTGCCCCAAATTTCTGGATACAAATTCTACATCTGGGTAAATAATTTACACCTGGCAATAATGTAAAACAGTGTCCTGATAACGGCAGAAACCTGACCTGGAGTTTAAGCAAAAATACCAAACCTTCCCCCCCAAAAAAACTTGGGAAAAATTCTGTTGATAAAAAAAGGGGGAGACCAAAGATGTTGAGGGAACAAAAATCAGTATGGCCTCTTTAAGAGGCTTTTTTGCAGGAGGCCATTTGGTTTTTCTGTTACAGCCACAAGACAAGCCTCTGCAGAACCAGATAACAGAACCAGATAAGTGGGGGTGGGGTGGGGGAGCATCCAAGAAGGGGGAGCTGCTGGAGCGGGTCCGGGGGTTGGGCCTGGTTGCCAGGTTTCTGGTATTTTCACCTCCTGGCAGGGGAAGAAAGAAAATACTCTGCTCAGGGTCGGGGCGCTGGCTGCAGAGCCGGGGCTAAGGGGGTGGAGCCCAGCAGGTTCCAGGATGGGCAAGGAGACCTCGGTCTGTGAAGCAGCAGCAGCCAGGTTGGATCTAAGGCAGGGAGCAGGCACATCTGACAGGTCTGGGCGAGGGGGGGCTCTAGGTGGCAGGGTGGTTCAAGGGGCGGCAGGGGTCTCCCCACTGCAGGATGTTTATTTGGGAGGGTAGGAAGGGGGCATCAGGGTGGCAGAGCTTATATTGGGGTGCTGGTTTCCCTAGCGTGTAGGGCCCCTTGCGGAGCACAGGTTGTGTAGGGCCAGGCTGCGTGTGTAGTGATCTGACCAGCGAGGGGAATGTAATATGACTGGCGTTGAGAGGTTGGCAGAGTGACTTTCCTCTCAACGATTTTGAATTCGATCATTCTCTGCTGGGGCTTGTAGCTTTAAAAAAACAAAGCCCGTTAGAGCTAGGTACCTAAAGCGCCGCTTGTTATTTGTTGTACAGAGGTAATAAATAAACCTCTTAATTTCAGTAAATAGATCGGGCAACTTTTGGGCTACCATTTAAATGATTTTGGACTCTTAATTCAGTAGAAATCTGGAAACATTATGTTCCTAATGACAGTGTTCAGGGACATAGATACACCCGCATCATATGGCGATGTAGCAGAGCGTGAGTGCACATGGATATGTGTGTACACATTTAGATGCCCATGTGTGGGTGTATGTGAGTGAGGGTATGTGACAGACGTGCACATACAGGTCTGTGGAGGTTGTATCAATGTGCAGTAAACACACTGATCACCTTCACAAAGTATCACTGGCCGATAGCCATGGCTCTGCCCCCAGTCCAACTCCTCGGGACTGACACACACAGTCCAACAGTCCAGCAGCTGTTTCCTCTCAAATCAAATGTCCAGGGAAACATTTCCTTCTCTCCCCGCCCCCCTCCAAAGTGTGTGATCTCCCTCCAAACTCCTCCAGCCCTTGTCCTAGACACATGCAATCCCCTGGCCCAACGATCCACTACAAACTTGTGCCCCTCCAGAGCTAAAAACAGCAAATTCAGCCCCGAGGGAAGGAGGATTTGCAGTGGTTCTAGGAGACACACAGAACTCACCCAGCCTGTGGCTGCATGGGGATAGATTAGATAGATAGAGGAGGTGTTGGGGACAGACATACAGACAGACACTCAGTCGCAGACACGCACCCCACACCCTAGCCCAGACAGACAGACCCCAGACATAGGAAGAGTTGGAAGACCCGAGGAGGGGGCCTGGGAACCTGCTCACCTGGGATTTTCAAGGGTGCTGCTGGTCTTGTTGCTTATCTCGATGCCCACGCTCCTGCCAGCAGTCACGGTCAGCATCCGCCCTTCGATGTTCGCCATCTCGCAGCACCAAGGGCTCGCTGAGCAGCAGAACTGACCCACTGGCCTCCCAGCCGGCCCAGGTCCAGCCCTGGCTGCGTGTGCAGCCCACACGTCACTTATGGGCAGGGTGTCTACATGTCAGTGGGAGAATGTGAAGGTCTCAAATCAGCAGGGTTTCTGCAAGAGGAAGTCCTGTCTACTCGAGTGGGGGAGGGAGCTCACAGGGGAGAAACACAAACCCTTTTGCTGTCAACCCATGGCTGCTGCTCCTCTCAGGGCCCTGCACCCCTGGGTCAGGGCAGGGCAGGGCTCCAGTGTCTCTGCTCCATGGGCAGCAGCAGGCGCAAAGCAAACCCAGCGCAGGACGGACACAGGGACTGGATGGTGAACATGCTCATGGTAATGTTGGACCCAGTGGTGCGGCTACCCCTGGGCCCCATGCGACAACACGGGAGATCTGAGAAGCTGAAAACCTGACGTGCAAGGAGAGCTTGGAGAGACTTGCTGGAGCTGTAGGCATAGCGAGCCGTGTGAACTAGATACTGTCACACCAAACAGGCCTGGCCTGGCCAGAGAGCAACACACCCCAGACTGGCTAGCCAAGCAAGCAAGCGCCTCTGGCCTGGCCAGAGAGCCACCCCCCCCAGACTGGCTAGCCAAGCAAGCAAGCGCCTCACTGGAGAGGTAGTGCAGGAAAACCCAATGTTCTCAAGTAGCTACATAAGCACCCCAGGGAGGCGAATTTGTAGAAATGGTGGTGCCCAGAATGGGCCCTCGTCCCTCCCCTGCACCTGCCTAAGGCTTTGGGAGGGAGTTTGGCTCCAGGTTGGGGCAGGGATTGGGGTGCAGGAGGGGATCCAGGGTGCAAGTTCTGGGAAGGAATTCGGGTGCAGGTGGGGTGAGGGTGGGAGGAGCGGACACGGGGGCAGGGAGTGAGCAGTGTTGTGCTCACCTGTGGCACTCCTCCTCTGACATCCGTTCCTAGGCAGGGGGATGGGGCAGGGGTTCTGTACCCTGCTGCCTGCATGCACCTTCTCTGCAGCTCCCACTGGCCACAGGAGCACTTGGGCTGGTGGGGGATGTGCAGGGACAAACACACACACACCCTGCCCAGGGGCTGCAGAGACGTGCCGGGAGCCATCACAGAGCGAGAGCAGGCAGGGAGCCGCGTTAGCCCCGTTGCTGCAGGGGGTGACAGTGTAGGGCAGCCTGGACAACTCCGTCTTGACCAGAATAATAATGTCTGTGTTGTCCCACCCTGCAGGGACTGGGCTAACGATGGCTGCCTTGACCAAAGTGCGGCTTCTAACAGAGCAAACCAGGCCTGATTTGAACCTAGTGCATGAAAGCACATGGGCCAGGCCGAGGAGGGGTGAGCTTTGAGCATCAGGAGTGCATTAAATAGTGCACTGGGAGTGTTGGTCTAGAGATACCGTGCCGAGAACACTGGGAGTAACCCGGTACTGGTACATAACAATTCTAATGAGCAAAAATCCCCCATGCAGCCATAGAATTATCCATTAAGTATCGAGTAGTTTGAGTAGCAGGACGTGTCCAAAAGAGGGGCATAAACAAAACATGATTAATTGGTAAATTTTACTAGAACGAGCAAGTCTTGCTATGGCTGTAAAGGTACGAATAGAAAAGGCAATCAGTGGGAGGGATTGTATAAGAGGTCACCATGACCTTACTCGCTGCAACTAGAAGCTGTGCCTGTTCCTACCGACTGATACATTGTGGACACCTCTGCGCATGGGGAAACAATGAGGCCACGACCTCCCATCTGACAATCATCTGACAATTGTAAGGTCTTAGTGGTGGAACTGTGTGTTACATAGACATAAGTACATGTATATCCCCATCCTTAAAATCAAGTATCTGGGGTATTGTGCCAGGTGTAGGTGTTCTATTATTGTCTGTGCTATCTATCCTGTGTATTGAACAGATCTGTGTAACCTTGCACTGCTTTCCTTTACCATTCTGTGCATAATAAAGTTAAGAAGAGTTTATCTGAGGTGTTTTTACTGGCTCCTCTCGTATCCAAAAGCTGAACCACACGACAGACAGCAGGAAGCTTTTTAAATCATAGAATCATAGAATCCCAGGACTGGAAGAGACCTCAGGAGTCATTGGCTGTGTCTACATTAGCCCCTATTCCTTAATAGGGATGCAAATGTAGAACTTTGGAATAGGCAAATCCGCGGGGGATTTAAATATCCCCCGCGGCATTTGCATTAACATGGCTGCTGCTTTTTCCCGGCTTGTAGATAAGCCGGAGAAAAGCGCCAGTCTGGACGCGATCCTCCGGAAAATAAGTTCTTTTCCGGAGGATCTCTTATTCCTACTTTCACTGCACTGAATTGCCTAGTATAGTAGTCTGTGAAGAGAGAGGAAAAAGAACATTGCGAACTTCAGCTTTTCCCACATCATCTATCACTAAGTCACCTCCCTCATCCCATAAGGGCCCCACAGCCTCTCTGATCACCCTCTTATTGCTAACATGCCTGTAGAAACCTTGCTTGTTACCCTTCACAGCCCTTGCTAGCTGCAATTCCAATTGCGCTTTTGCCTTGCTCATAACTTCTCTCCATGCTCAAGAAATATATTTCTATACCTCCGGGTATCAAACCGGGTTGTGCGCTCCATGGCGGTGTCTAGACTGGCCAGTTTTTCTGGAAAATCAGCTGCTTTTCCGGAAAAACTGGCCAGCTGTCTACACTGGCTGTTTGAATTTCCGCAAAAGCACTGACGATCTCATGTAAGATTGTCAGTGCTTTTGCAGAAATACTACACTGCTCCCGTTCGGGCAAAAGTCTTTTTCCGAAAAACTTTTGCGCAAAAGGGCCAGTGTAGACAGCAGAGATTTGTTTTCCGCAAAAAAGCCCCGATCGCGAAAATGGCTTTCGGGGCTTTTTTGCGGAAAAGGTCATCTAGATTGGCCACAGACGCTTTTCGGCAAAAAGTGATTTTGTGGAAAAGCATCCTGCCAATCTAGACACGCTTTTCCGAAAATGCTTTTAACGGAAAACTTTTCCATTAAAAGCATTTCTGGAAAATCATGCCAATGTAGACGTAGCCCCTAGTCATCTGTCCACATTTCCACTTTTTGTAAGCTTCCTTTTTGCGTTGAAGCTCACCAAGGATTTCCCTGGTAAGTCAAGCCGGTCGCCTACCATATTTGTTTTTCTTACTGCCCATCGGGACAGTTTGTTCCTGGGCCTTCAATAAGCCTTCTTTAAAATACTGCCAGTTCTCCTGGACTCCTTTCCCCTTCATGTTAGCATCCCAGGGAATCCTGCCCATCAGTTCTCTGAGGGAGTCAAAGTCTGCTTTTCTGAAGTCCAAGGTGTGTATTTTGCTACTCTCCTTTCTTCCTTTGGTCAGGATCTTGAAATAAACCATCTCATGATCACTGCTTCCCAGGTTGCCACCCACATCTATTTCCCCTACTAGTTCCTCCCTGTTTGTGGTTGGTTCCTTCAGCACTTGTACCAGGAAGGTATCCTCAGCAGTCTCCAAACACTTCCTGGATTGTCCGTGTATTGTTGTATTAGTCTCCCAATAAATGTCAAGGTGGTTAAAGTCCCCCATGAGAATCAGAGTCTGTGATCTGGAAGCTTCTCTTAGTTGTCTGAAGAAAGCCTCATCTACCTCATCCATCTGATCTGGTCTATAGCAGACACCAACCACAACATCACCCCTGTTGCTCTAACTTAACCCAAAAACTCTCAACAGGTTTTTCTCCCTCTATGTACTGAAGCTCTGAGCAATCATCCTTCTCTCTTACATACAGTGCAACTCCTCCTCCTTGTCTCCCACCTGATCCTCCTGAACAGTTTACACCCTTCCATGACAATGCTCCAGTCATGGGAGTCATCCCACCGAGTCTCCGCTATTCTAGTCACCTCACAGTTCTTTGATTGTGCCAGGACTTCTAATCTTCCTGCTTGTTTCCCAGGCTTCTTGCATTCCTGTGCAGACACCGTAGATAACTAGCTGATTGCTGAACCTTCCCCATACAACTCAAGGCTCCTCTGCCTTGTATTTCACGTGGGGTCAGAGGGTGGGGCCAGGAGAAGCACATGGGGAGCACCTGGGGGGTGGCAGGCATGGCCACAGGAGAGTCCTGGCTATGAATTTTGCTGGAGCTGGACCCCTGGGCTAGGAATATTCCTGAAGCCCAGGTACCAAGGGAACATATAACTCTCCACCTGTGTAAACCCTTCCTTAAGAGCTGGGCCAGGAACGCAGGGACTGGTGGTAAGAACTGACAGAGGAATGGATGGTTTTGTTCACACTCACGGGTACAAGGGGTCGGGCTGGTCACCACCCACACCTGGCGTGGAACAGGTAACGTTTGTGTCGATGTAAAATGGGAGAAGTCAGAGGAGGGACCTCTCCGGCAGTGTCCTGGGGCATTTCCGGGGGAATGGGGCACGTGCAGGTTGGAACCAGTAGAGGTGAGTCTCTATCCCAGGCCTTTTCTACACCCTGATTTGAGACAATGGGGCACTCGGCCAGAGGCTGGGGGTGCGTACAGGAGTGGGGAGGGAGGTTCTGTGGCCTGCAATGTGCAGGGGTCAGACTAGGATGGTCCAGGGGCCCGAGCTGGGACCATTGTCGTGAGCACATGTGTTTCAGGGTAGCTGCACCAGGGTGCATGGCTGCAGGAAGTCTTGGGCCAGGAACTGAGCTTGATTCAGAACCAGATCAGAGGAGGCGTCCCCGTGGGGGTAGTGTGGACGGGAGGGACAATAATACGTAGCTCTCTAGAGGAAGGCCACTTGAGCACCTCTGGGGCCAGGCACCTACATCTGGACTCTTTAGAAAAAAAGATTTAGAGATGCTGCCCCCTGGTGGGACCAGGGACTCTGGTGGGGAGACAGCGCAGCAGGCAGGGATGCTGGTGAGGAGACACAGCGCAGCAGGCAGGGACTCTGGTGGGGAGACACAGCGCAGCAGGCAGAGACTGGAAGTGAAATGTAAATGGCTCTGGCTATGGGGAACTAAGGGCTTTCCACATACCCCTGTCGAAGTACCTCCGTGCTGACTGGCAATAGCCTCCGTGTCCAGTCAGGGAGGACGCACTGTCGGAGGCAGTGAAAGGGTCACAATTCTGAGCTCACTGTAGAAATTACTTGTTCACAGCCAGGCAATTAGTCTCTGGCAACATCTTTTAAACAATCAAAATGAAGTTTCCATTTGCAGGCCCCTCTAGAGCACCGGCACCGTTCTCACAGCGCAGTGTCCAATACCTCCATGGATGCAGATGAAGTAGCAACCACAAAGGAATTAGTCACCGTCTAGCAGGGGTGGACGAATACCGGCCTGCCGACTGGATCCAATCTGCCAGGGTTAGCCCCCGGTGGGCCCCCAAACCACCGTATTTACCTGCACCTCCGCAGATCACTGTTCCTGGCCAATGGGAGCTGTGAGTGCCCATGTCGGCGGAGACATGGGTAAATATAGCAGCAGTGACCCACCAGGAGCTAACCCTGGTGAAGCGCCACTGGTTTATTGCCCACCCCTGCCTTATTGTGACCTTACATCTGCTTAAGCAGCAGCCAGAATAATTCATTGAAGCACCTGACGTGCTTCTGTGGGCACGTGGCTGTAGAGTGCTGAAACCAGACAAACCAGAGCTCTGGCTACGCCATTGTGCCCGAGAGCTACGCTGAATTAATCATGTGTCAGGTGAGCCAAGGCATAACTTTCACAGCCTCCCACCTCCCCCGCACCCAGTCCACGTCGGCGCCAGCTGCCTCCACTTCCCTCACAGCTCTTCCCCTCACTCATTTCTCCCTTGCTGGCCAGGGTCAAACTCTCAAGCTCTTGGCCTTGGCCAGAGCCCCTCCCTCATTCTGCCCCATCACCTGCAACCCCACTCACAGCCTTTCTGCCCTGTCCCCCGCTGCCCCACTCCCTGCTCACTCCATTCACCCTCTGCAGGTTGCCAACTTTCTCATTGCTGAAAACCGAACAACTTTGCCCCGCCTCCTACTCCGCATCTTCCTCTGAAGCCCCGCCCCATATTTACTCCTCTCCCTGCATCTCTTGCTCTCCACCCTCCCTCGGCCTGCTCACTCCCACCTCTCCCTGGACTCACCGGATGACCTGACGTTGCCAGGTTCCCTTTTCGAATGGACATTCTAGTGGAAAACTGGACATCTGGAAACTCTCCCCCCAGGTCTCCAGCAAAGCTCTGTGCCCCGATGCAGCTCCAGGGCCACTCCCCCCATCCAGGGCCATGGTGGTGGGAGAATATTTTTCCAGGGCCCCAAATCCACCACTGCCCCCCACCCGGGAGCATGAGATTACACCCCTCCACACTGGTTGTAGCCACAGTTACCGGCTGGTGTAAAGTGCAGGGTTGGGACTATCAGGGTGGTTGAGCAGGAGCCTCTGCAAGAAATCTGGCCCTGGCACTTCCCTCCGCAGGTTGCTGCTGTTGTGATTATTAGAGGTGGGGCGGAGGGGCAGGTGCTTGGGGAGCACACTGAGAAAACCGGGGAGGAGACGGAAGCAAAGGAGGAAAGGTAAGGAAGGGGGTCTAAAGACACTCATGTCTGGGGACAGGGCTGAAGATCTCATGCCCTGGCAGGGTAGATGGCACCAGCTAGTTGGTCTTTTCTGATGAATGAAGAGCACAGGAAACCCGAGAAGAAGTCGTACTTTTCGGTAACCGGGTTTGGTTCTTTAAAGGATTTGAAACCACAGAGAGAGGAATACTTCTTTTTAGGGTTAAACAAAGATTATTTATTTTTTCTATTTACTTTATAATTAATTTTCTATTTAAATCAATTCATTATTTTTGATTCTTTTAAGACAATATAATATACAAAGAAAAAGTAAAAAAACAGTACAGTTAAAAATAACAAGAAATAATAACTTCTCCTACTGATATACCCTCCTGAGTTACCTTTAAGAAATTTATGGAGTTAACAGTTATATAATACTCACGTTAAGAAAGATAGAAGCATTGCTTAGATTCAGGAGATATTCTTTTCTTTATGTTTTTCCTTTCTTTGGATTTTTCGTTGCAACTTACGACCGGTATTCGTTCCCCTTTCGGAGCTTATGTGCGGCAGCGAGATTCAGCGCCGGGGAGGGAGCCCTGGTTGATCAGACCTGGCTTTTCGGATTCGCAACCCGTCCGCTCGTGGTCTGTTTCAGCCCACCTTATATACCCTGTTTCGGTATTTTGGTACTCCTCCACTCGCCTGACAATTGCTGACGTTAGATTTTTGTCTCATTCTGCCCTTACAAAAAACTTTCGTCTGCTCCATTTGGGGTAATCAGCACTTTGTTGCATACTGCTGTCTGAGTTACTTACTTCCCTAAAAGCGGGGTTATTGTTGGTCAACCAATCAAATTTTGTTTTTATTTTTATCTCCTGTATCTGAGAGTGCTGCCTTTCCTTTCCACTTACAATTAAACTGGTGCTCATTTGACATATTCTGGGTAGGCCTCAATACCTTTCTTTCACAGTACTCAGCTACTGTGGTTGTGGCTGGGAGTAACAAGAGATGAAACCTGACAGCTTCCAGCCCAGGAAACGTAGCACCAAGATGGGTTTCAACCACGATAAAAAAGAAGTTGAAGTCAAATCTTCATTCGCTCGTGGTCCAATATCCCCCTCTGAGCTGAAACTCTCTAGTCGGTCCAGATGACATGCCCATGGCTGGAAGAGCCCCACTATTCAACTCTGCGTTTTATAGGACCATGTAGCCAATTATTTTAGTAGCTGGTTCATTTATTGTGTGGTTATGACGAATTGGCATGTTAGGTCACATATAATCACTGTATGCTAAACAGAGTTAAGCTGGAGGGCTATAGAAGTATAAGACTCCGAGTACAACTCCAAGCAGATCCTGCACTTTGCCCACTGGGAGTTCCAGGTGTGGGATGATGACGTCCAAATCAGGTGTGGGGCTGCGGACATGGAGGTGGGAGCAGGAGAGGGCTCTGGAAGGAGGAAGGGGAGGGGCACACATTAACCTGGAACCCCGGGGTGGGCTGGGCATGGCCAGGGTAGCCCTTGCAGAAGGGTGGAGAGAGCGGAGTGTGGTTGGTGCCGTGGGTCCGTGAGACAGCTCGTGACGGAGTCTCTCCCCCACCCCCAATTCCTCACAGGCACTGTGTGGATGACTGAGATCTTGAGTCTGATCTGCAGCGGCGGGGACCCAGCCTGGAACCGAACCACCCTCAACTCCACCCGCATGCCCTGGTTCACCACCCACCTGGGGCTGGAAGCCATGCTAAACTACCCCCCACCCCGCCTGCTGACCTGCTACCTCCCCATCCAGCTCTTCCCCACCTCTTTCTTCAGCTCCAGGGCCAAGGTGAGCCTGACAGGCTATGCTGACCCCCAGGGTTATCCAGGAATTACTGGTGAATCTTTCATTAAAGATTGTGTCCTGTGATGAAACCTCCACAAATATTTCCAAGCGAAACTGCAACCCTGAGGGTAAGAGGGGGCAGGACTATGGAGCAGAGCGGTGGGGGGGCAGTATCTGGCGGAGGGGTGCCCAGGAGAGAGGGGAATGGGCTGGGGGCAGGTGACCAAAGCCCACAGCTAAGGTGCAGAGCTGGGAGTGGGCAGGGTTATGGTGTGGAGCAGGGAGGCAGGGTTATGAAGCAGAGCAAGGGGGCGGGGCTGTGGTGTGGAGCAAGGGGGCAGGGTTACGGTGCAGAGCAAGGGGGCGGGGCTGTGGTGTGGAGCAAGGTGGCAGGGTTATGGTGCAGAGCAAGGGGGCAGGGTTATGGTGCAGAGCAGGGGGTAGGGCTAAGATGCATAGCTCAGTGGTTCTGGGCCTAAGCTGCAGACTGGGTGGTGTGGGGGAACAAGGCAATGGTGCGGAGCAGGGGGGCAGGACTGTGGTGCAGACCCAAGAGGGGCAGGGTTAGGATGCATAGCTAGAAGGTATGGGGGCTAGATGCGGGGGCTAAGGTGCATATCCGGGGGTTGGGGGGAAGATGCAGGGGCTAAGGTGCAGACCCATAGGAAGGCACATGCAGCAATGGGCAACCTTAAACATGTGCCTGAATTCTGAGTTCCTTGACCCTGCCCCATAGATCCTCAGGGGTTTCCCTGGCTCACTTTGGCTGGATGCCCATAGACAAGCCAGCTGGGCACTTCAGGGGCTCCCTGACCCACAGGGGTAATAGTAGAGCAGCATGTCCTTCTCCTCGCCCGAGCCCACATCTCTGGCCCTACCCCTGCCTGTGCTCCTCTCCAGGTGATCTACACGCTCTGCAATCCCAAGGATGTCCTGGTCTCCTAATTCTATTTCTCCAAGATGTGCAGCTCGTACGAGGACCCCGAGTCCTTCGAGCAGTTCCTGGGGGACTTTCTGAGCAGGGACGGTGAGTGAGGCTCCAGGACCTCAGCCACCTTGGGTCATGGGGGAGGAGGGAGCTGAGCGGGGACTGGAGACCAGTCTGCAAATATGGGGAAAGTTGCTATAAAGAGGACAGGGATCAATTGTTCTCCCTCTGCACCAAGGGAATCTGCCTGCTGCTTTTGTTTTGGACGTTCAAACCAAGAATTGGGAGGGGGAAGGGAGATAAATACCCATGCCTAGAAATGGACTAGACCTTGGAAGTACAAACATGTGAGTAGATAGAGAATGTTTTTAGTTAGACACAATCAGGTTATTTTCTTTGTTTTGTTGTTTGGTTAAACTCCCCTTACACTGTAACTAAAACTGAATCCCAGGGAAGCAATTCTCTGTGTTTTAATCTGTTATTTTCTCAGCTGCTCTATAACACCTAGCAACAAAGTATGCTTTATCAAGTATATCTTTTTGCTTTGTTAATAAGAACACCCTTTTAAAGATTGTGATCTGATTCTTGTGTCCTGGAAAGTAATAGGACACAAGAAGGTCTGTGAGTGCTTGACTAAGTCTGAGAGATCAACTATCAGAGATTATAGTTTGTTTTTTTCAAGCTCTCTTATGGCAACAGAGCTTGGGGTACCCCTCTGAAGAAGTTCCCAAGTGGGTGGTTCCTGGGTTAAAAAAGAAAGAGGTTTTGCACTTGGGTGGTGGCAGCTACCCCACAAGGGCAGGGAATCTGTGACTTTGGGGCATTTTCAAGCAGAAGCCTCTGCAGCAGTGTTTCTTAAACTGTGTTTCAGGGCATGTAGCCTGCAGGTAGCCATGACCATCAACACCGTGCTGCTACAGAGGGTCGTCACTCTGGGTTACGTGGACAACATCATAGATGGCTTTGCCACCATAGGCTAGCCCAAATACTATAGGAGGGCCTGGAGGTTTTTCGCCTTCCTCTGTAGCATGGGGCACAGATCACAGCTGGAGGATTCTCTGCATCTTGGCGTCTTCAAACTATTTGAAGGTTTCAATATCTGAGATATAGGTGAAAGGAAAATTCCAGGAGTGGGTGGGTGAGATTCTGTGGCCTGCACTGTGCAGAGGGTCAGATAGATGAACATAATGGTCCCTTCTGACCTTAAAGTCTATGAGTCTGTAAAATGGCACGTCCCCATCCTGGCCCACAACCACCAAGCTTCGGAGTTCATGAACCAAAAGGGGAATGTCTCCGTGGTGTTTCACACCCTCATGGATCACAAAAGACGCTTCACCGACATCAGAGTTGGATGGTTGGGAAAGGCACATGACGCCCGCATCTTCTAGAACTCCTGCCTCTTCCAAATGTTGCACTTTTCCCCCAGACTGTACCACCAGAGCGGGAGAGGAGAACATGCCCACAGAGATGCCTACCGCTCGCTCCCCTGGCTCATGAAGCCCTACATGGGCAACTTGGAGCCCAGCAAGAAGGAGTTCAATACCCGGCTGAGCAGGTGCCGCATGGTGGTGGAATGTGCACTCAGCCATTTAAAAGGGAGGTTCAGGAGGCTCCCCACCCATTTGGACCTCAGCGAGCGCAACATCCCTTTCATGATGGCGACCTGCTGTGTGCAAGGGGCTGTGCTCATCTGAGAGGTCTTGATGGAGAGTTTCATGCGAGGCTAGTTCTGAGACTCTTTCCTGGGGCTCTCCACAAGGGGCCCCTGCATTCCCTGTGTGTGCTTTTCACCACTCCCTTTCCCTGCCCTCCCTTCCCACCTTCCCCCCTCCCTGCAGAGCAAACAACAAAGACATTGTTTTTGAAAAGACAGGACCCTTTATTTGGGGGGCATACAACAGGGAAGGGACTGGGAATTGGGGGGGGTCATGGATGGGGCTGAGAGCGGTGCCTGCCTCTGGGTGGTCTGAAGGCTCTGGCTGCCCTGAGATCCCACTACTCTGTGTTCTCAGGTGGCCCCTGGGAAACCTTGGAGGGGAAGTCATGGGGAGGGTGGGGAGGTGGCTGGATCATGTCTCATGGCCTGTTCCAGGAGTGAAGCCATGCGCTTCATCACTGAGGGTGGGGAACGTGACTTCATGCTGGCACCTCTTCTCTTCCCAGGCACCCTTTCTCTGCTCCCAGTCAGCTCTTCCCAGTTCACCCGGCACGCCTCCTGGTTGGTGGCCCACTCCTGCTGCCCTTCCTCGAGTCCCTGGAGGAGGGACTGCAGGCACCACCATCTGCTCCCTCATCAGCTCCTCCTGCATCTTCTCTTCCCAGGCACCCTTTCTCTGCTCCCAGTCAGCTCTTCCCAGTTCACCCGGCACTCCTCCTGGTTGGTGGCCCACTCCTGCTGCCCTTCCTCAAGTCCCTGGAGGAGGGACTGCAGGCACCACCATCTGCTCTCTCAATAGCTCCTCCTGGGTGCGTTTCCACCTGAGAATCCCGCTGAGTCAGGTAGATGAAGTGGGAGGTGGGGGACATGCCAAGCTCACAGCTGTCCCAGAAGGGTGGTACCAGACACGCCCCTAGGAAACATCTTGGTACCAACACACTCCCCACAGATACCAGGGACATACCAGCCCAAGTTCAGGACAGGGTTCAGAAGGACAGCCAGATGGAGAGTGATGTTTTGGTCAAACTACCATGTACAAGGTCTGTCACCCAGGTATGTCAGAGGGAGGCCAAGCACTTGGGTTCCCTAGGGAGGTGGTGGACTCTCCATCCCTGAAGGGTTTTAAGTCTCAGCTTGACAAAGCCCTGGCTGGGAGGATTTAGCTGGCTCTGGCCCTGCTTTGGGCAGGGGGATGGACTCAAAGACCTCTGGAGGTCTCTTCCAGACCTAGGATTCTATGGGGGCTGTCCTTGTCCAGCCTAGAGGGCAGTGGAAAGCCCCACCCCGGGCTGAGCTGAATCCATTGTCATGGGCAAACATTCTTAGTATCCTCGTAGAGTCTACCAGGTGCTGTTAATGAGTCCATTTACAAGGACTCTGCCTTGTGCCTTTGTCCCTTATCTGATTTGTGGTCATTGGAGGTTCTCTTGTGACCTGCTGGGTTGGCTACCTGCACAGAGGGAGCACATGCACACAGCCAAATGGTTATTGGCATTCAACAGAGGAAGATACCTCTCAGGACACGCAGCCAGCGACATCGGATGACATGAACAATTCCTGTTCTCCTAAAGGGAGTTTTCCCCAGACACTGAAATCCAACACATTGGTTTTGAGAACACAAGTGTATTAACTTTACATACAAAGCTGCTACACATGTTGTTTTAGAACAATATTGTTTAGTGAGTTAGGACATTTCAAAATTTGTACACAAATGATTACAGCCGTGTGATGAAAGGGGCGAATACAGACAAATAGACCTGCTGGGGTATGACAGAGGATTATAAAATTTTGAATGATGCAGAGACAGCAAATAGGGAAGTGTATTTAGGGAATAAGGAGGTTGCTACTTTTTCCTAACACAAGAACTAGGGGTCACCAAATGACATTCAAAGGAGCAGGTTTATAACAGACCAAAGGACGTATTTCTTCACACAGCGCATAGTCCACCTGTGAAACATATTACTGGGCATATTGCAAAGGCCAAAGTTCCGATAGGGCTCAAGAACGACTTAAATACGTTCATGGAGGATGGCTCCATCAATGGCCACTAGCCAAGGTGGGCAGGGACCAACCCCCATGTTGTCCTGCTCTGTTCATTCCATTTGCAGCACCTGTCACTGGGCTGGGTGGGCAATTGGGCAGCCCCAGTAGGGCCATTCTCACACTCTTGTGTTATGATCTTCTGCACCTACCCTTTCCTTGTGTCTTTATAACTTGCCATTCAAGTTGCTTAGCCAGTTCTAATTTACCCAGTAAGCACACATGCAATCAATAGCAACCTTACACGGCTACCAAAAGGTCAAGCTCTTCAACATATTCCCCTTACAAGAATTTTAGCCTTTATTTTCTAAAAATTCGGTTACCTTTTTAGCATTAGTTTTTGCAAAGCTTTATAGGAGTTTTATCACCAAGATAAATGCTGAAGCTTCAGGCTTTCCTATGCCAACACCTATTATTTCTGAGATTAGGAAATAAACAGAAAAAAACCCTTCTTTACATAATCTTGCATGCCCAGATACCACCACACTGAGGAGACAGACAAGTACTCGTGCACTAAAAAGAGCAGTGTGGGCAGCAGTTCAGGCTAGTCACCGAGTGCAAACCCAAGAGATCAGGAAGATGGTACTTGGTGCAGGGCTGGCCTCGCCAGGTGGTGAACTGAGGTGGCCACCTCAGGTGCCAGATTAGGGAGGGGGGACGTCACTAGGATCCAGAGTGTAGAAAATTGTGTCTGCTGTGCTGTGCTGTGCTGTGCTGTGCTGGAGGAAGGAGGGCACAAGAGACCTTTCAAAGTTTTGGTCCAAGTGAGGAGGTATGGGGGTGTCATTTGTGTTGTGGGCCAGCCCTGCTTGGCTGGCTAGCTCTTCCCACCGCCCACACTGCTCTGGCCATTTCTAAAAATCCTCGCATGAGCAGAGCTAGCACATCACTGTCTATGCAGGCTGTGAGAAAGAAAGTCCCTAGTTCCCCTGCATCCTGGTCTGTCACATGGGGGCATTTCCCTGGGCTGAGTGCATAGCTAGGGCGGGCTAGGATTGGTTTGCTCGATCTGCACTCTAATGTAGGACTTATAGTTGCTGGTCATGGTGGCTTTCACCTCTATCTCCTGGTTGCGCACCCTCAGTTCCCCAGGATTCCACCCCCGGAGCACCGCCTTCCTGAAGGAGTGGCACTGATAGGGCGGGCCCCCACCATGCATATAGCTATAGAGGCGCTCCATGCTGTCAAACTGCTGCCTGCCACTGCAGAGTTGAAGAGCAAACTCAATGTTGTACAAGTTGTAGTTGAAGGGGTTGGAGAACATGATGGCCAGGGTGAAGATATTGGACTCGTAGCTCAGCACCCCCACGCTCCCGCAAGCCGTCCTGCCTTTTTTCACAAACACGCTGCTCCCCGAGCCACCGGGGGGGATTTCAGGTGTAGGCTCCATCCATACGTTGCCACTCTTACAGTAAGTCCTGGAGGAACAGACAACAGGGCACCTCAGCACACAGCATCCCTGACAATAATTAATAAGTGCATCTCCGCAGCAGGAGACGCCTGACCCTGGGGCTGGGGTGGGTCACAGCATCTCAGCTCTTCTATAGAGGAGACACACAGCACGTCGCTGGACAAGGGAGCACGGCCCAACGTGGGCCAAACCCAGGGCTGAGAGGCCTTTCCTGCATCACCAAAGCGTAAGGGAGTGGAGATAAGGTAAGTGGGGACAGGGCCAATCCCCATCTTCCCACCCACCCCGGGCTGGGCTCTGCCTCCTCCTTAGGGTTGCCAGGTGTCTGATATTCACCTGGACAGTTTGATATTTGTGGGCTCCGTCTGGTAAAAGAAAAACAACAGGAAATACTGGATATGTGAAATACCGTTCTGTTTCCCTGGGACGGAAGCCTGGTGGGGACAATTATCCCATGCCACATCTGGCAGGGGCGGGTGAGTGAGAAGCGTGGCAGAATCTAGAATAGGGAGGCATGAGGGGGCACTTTTTGAGTGCCACACTAAGGGGGCACCAGGCTGGGGTGGGAGCAGAGCGCACGTGATCAGCAGAGACCAGTAGCTGGCCACGTGATGCCTCCCTCTACACAATGTGAGCCGAGGCAGCCGGGCCGGGCGGCAGGAGCAACCACTTGAAAATGGCCAGGCAGCAGGAGCAGCCACTTGAAAAGTCAGATTGTTCCTCTGTGCCTGGCTCAGCGGGAGGGGGACATTTCATTGGAGTGGGGGCTCCCGACGCTGGGGATGCCTGCCTCACGGGAAGGGGGGAGTGCACTGGGATGGGAGGACTGGGGGGCCTGCCCCGGGGGAGAAGTGGTTTCACCGGTGGTTAGTGTGTGGTCCCAAGCTGGAGGGAGTGCTGCAACGTTTGCTTAACAACTTCAACTTCCTCCCCATTTTTATTTTATTTTATTTTATTTTTGCTCAACAACTTTGGTCTCCCCTTTTTTTCCTTGACACAATTTTTTCCCGGCATACAGTCTGGAAGGGGCAGATGGATGGATGGAGGAGGTGTATGGGAATGGCAGACAGACACTCGGTAGCAGGCATGTACCCCACACCCTGGCCAGTCCATAGAGGCGTGTAGAGGGGGCCGTGGGAACTTGCTCACCTGGGGTTCTCGAGAGTCACATTTTCAGTGTTGTTGAATATCTCGATGCCCACACACCTGCCGAAGTTCAGATTCCCCACCACCCTTTCAACGGTTGTCATCGTGCAGAGCAGAGGGACTCTTCGGTAGCAGCCTCTGCAGAGCCCCTGTGGGAGAAGAGCCAACTCACTCCCCTGCCAGCCCTGGCTGCGTGGGCCTCCTGCCAGCCGGGTCACACAGCGCCCTTGATCTGCATGGCAGGGCTGTGCACGGGCAGGATGTAGGGGGTGGAAGGGCTACAAAGGAACCCTGGCTAAGGAAGGAGGGGCAGAGCCAGCACAACGACGGGGAAGCTCACTGCTGCCCCTGTGGGTTACTTGCTGGCTCTCGGGCTGGCCTGCTCTTTACAGGGATCTACACAACCTGTATTGGTGGAGGAAGGGGGCCCAGACACCTCTGCCGTAGCTCAATGGGTACCCCGGGCCCTAGGGACATTATCGCGTTTATACAATTAACCAGTAAACCTGGGCTCATTGGTTAATCCTACATGTATCCCCCCTTGCTGCCTCTGTATGAGAGAGAGCAGGGGGAGGAGGAGTGGAAGCTGCTGTCCCCACACATGCCGGCTCCAGTGGAGATGCTCCCTCCCCTGCTGGTATCACGGGCGTGCAGGGAGCCAGCTTTCTGCGGCTGCCAGCTACTGCAGAGCCACCTGTCCCCCACCCTGCCTCCCACAGAGCTGGGACACATGGGAAGCCGACTCCCTGCATGTAGCAGTTCCCATGGATCCACCTCCCCACATGCTGCTGCCTCTGTCAGCTCCCGCCTACCCCTCCCCCCGCACGTAAACATGGAAGCACGGCAAAGTTCAGCATGTTTACAACAATGAACGTTTGTTCACAACCATGCCAGGCCCAGGAACCAAACCTGGTGCTGGGAGACAGAAGGAATAGGGGGGACGCCCCAGGGCCCTGTGTGCACAAAATGACAAGAAGAGCCAGTTGCTTCAGATGTTTCCTTCTAACTGAGGAGCAGCCACAGCTCACCCACGGGCAGGGTCTCTCAATGTCAGTGGCG